GAAGGATTACTGTACTGGATTGTACAGTGGCCCTAAGGTGTAAAGGAACAACATTTGAAAAAAACCAGAATTACATTTGAAAAAAACATAACAAAATCATCATTCATTCAACCTTTATTTCTACAGGTAAATCCCATTGAGCCTTGAGGACTCATTTACAAGAGAGACCTGATTTCAACCAAGAATGATCACAACAATGGACAACAGTGACAACAATAGACAACAATAGACAGTTATAAAACTTCATTATCCAGTTTTTTTTTTTAAACAAATAGGATGGCTAAAAAAAAGTAACAAATACAGCTAGATTATAAGGCGAATGTAGAAAACTAAAAACAGGAACATGTCTGCATTGTTCCCTGCCAGGAGTCCAACAGATTCAAAATCACAACATTTGAAAAAAACGGTATTACATTTGAAAAAAACAGAAATACATTATGCCAAAACCAAAGTGGCCGGACTCACATTAGAAAAAATGGAATTATATTAGGCCGAAGCGGAAGTAGCCGAAGTGGAAGTAGCCGAAGCGGGAGTGGCCCAAGTCACATTTTTAAAAAACAGAATCACATTTGAAAAAATGGAATTACATTTGAACAAATTGAATTATATTAAGCCAAACAGGAAGGTTTGGTTTTTTTTTTACTTTATTAACAGCATAAAATTACAAAAACTTCCAGTTTTTAATTAATTAATTCATTCAGTTTTTTCAAACGTAATTCCATTTTTTCAAATGTAATCCTGTTTTTTCTAATGTGATTTGTGCTACTTCCGCTTTGGCTTAATGTAATTCCGTTTTTTCAAATGTAATTCTGTTTTTTTTTTTCACATATATTTCTTTTTTTTTTTTCAAATATTGTTGTGATTTTGTTGTTTTTGTTGTGTTTTTTCAAATGTAATTTCGTTTTTTCAAATGTTGTTCATTTACACCTTACGGCCACCATAGTATTGGTACCTGAGAGCGAACCCCAACTCAAAGTATTGTCAAATCAATTTTTTTTAATGGCT